ATGAAAGCAATTGAAATTGGAACTTACATTTTCTCAAACGCCAAAATTATATTACAAAATTTATTTAGATGATTTTCAACTTTTAAGAGAATTTCACTCGTTCCTACTTCTTTCAAGCCTTTTAAATTTATAATGTACTTTTGTATATTGTGTTTATGTATAAAGTAAAATAACACAAATACCGAACTCCGAGGCAAATTCTAAACGGAAAGTCACTTAGCAAATGGCAAAATCAAAAGCTCAAACACATCAAACGAATGAATAACAACTGTCATATTCCTGGCTTGGTACAGGCATTTTTTTATGTAGAAAATGGTGGATTAAACCTGGCATTATAGCTAGCTAAACCTCTCTCTTGTATGACAGTCGCATAAAATTCCATTATATTAACAACGATGTGTGAACAAAACAAACAGACATAATAGGTAAAAATGTCAAAAATAGGGATACAGCAGTCAACATTGTGTTATAATCTTAATGACTACAAAAACAGGCAAATATGTCAACAAAGACAAACAAAAAGGCATATAGACAAAGCACATTAGCAAAAACGAAAGACAAGAATACAAAAATTTACCATAGCACAACAACACAATGACGCGATGTACAAGTACCGAGCCACGTCAAATGAATCACTACAAAAACAAGCAAATATGTCAACAAAGACAAACAAAAATGTATAAAGACAAAGCACATTAGCAAAAACGAAAGACAAGAATACAAAAAGTACCATAGCACAACAACACAATGACGGGATGTACAAGTACTGAGCCACGCAAAATAGATACTGCAAAAAATAGGCTAAATAGTAAAAGTAATGAATTACAAAGACTAATAAAAGAATACTATAACACGTTATTAAGTTGATTAACAACGTCAGTACCTAGAATCTATACTTCAAGACCATCGAGTATTATTTGTGAAGTTGATACGGAATGTAAATCAACAAGGTCTTGGTATCTTCCGATGAACTTTTTTAGAAAAAGGACGAGACGTTCTTTGACATACCCTTGGTTCATCAACTTTCTGCTCAGAGACTGGTGACGTTTTACCAGGTCTGAGTAGCAGCTGCAAGCTCTTGAATACCGAATGAGTTTGGAAATGTATATCCCATATGCAGGTGAAAATGGTATATTGCTACTAAGGTGGGGGAAATTGATAATTTCAAAATTAAAATTATCTCGTTTGTCATAGATTCTGGTACTGAGATGACTGCTTATGTCAAATTCGAGGTATAGGTCTAAAAATGAGGCAGAGGAAGCCGTGTCTGTTATTTCTTTAATTTTTTGTTCTTCAGGATATATTAATGGAACCCAATCAGAAAAGTTTGAATTGTTAATGGAAAGAACATCATCAATATATATGAATGTGAAATTAAATGATCTGGCTTCTTTGATCTTCTTGTTTTTGAAAAGTGTCTGAAGGAACTCCGACTCATATGAAAATAAGAAGAGGTCGGCAAGTAGAGGCGCACAGTTCCTTCCCATAGGAATGCCGACAATTTGTTGAAAAAGTCTACCTCCAAATTCAACAAATATGTTGTCAATAAGAAACTCCAGCATACTGATCACTTGCTCCTATGTGTAGCATGTTTTACCTTTTTGTTCACTTTTAACAAAATATGCCGTTTTGATATCCTAAAGTGATAATTTAAAGCGTATGCTACCATTTTTATGTTGAAACGCATTGTGGATTATTTCTTTTAGACGATTTTTCATTTTCACATGGGGAATGGTGGTATGCAGGGTTGAAAAATCAAAAGTTTTGATAGAACTTATTTGTAGTCAGCACTTCTGTGTTGACTTGAGTTATCATTGATATGTTCATAATTATAAATTAACTGTTTACAAAACTTTGAAGATTTGAAAAACTAATGCTTTTCTACCTCAGGAATAGATTACCTTAGCTGTGTTTTTCAAAACTTTTAGGAATATTTGGTCCTTAATGCTCTTCAACTTCGTACTTTATTTGGCCGTTTAAACATTTTTTGATTCGAGCGTCACTGATGAGTCTTTTGTAGACGAAACGCGCGTCTAACGCAAATATAAAATTTCAATCCTGGTATCTATGATGAGTTTATTTTACCAGAAAGATCGAGATTTAAAATTATCCAGAAGTTCTTTAGAGTTTTTTAGAATCCACACATGGTTAATACCACTACGCGAGTAAACAGTTTCACAGTATTACTGAAGATCCTCTTTCACTGCGGACATAATCTTTGTCAATCTAATGGACAATTCTTTAGTCAAACATGCAGATGAGCCGGCAATGTACCGTTGTTTGTACGGAATTTTGTTAAGCTTAGGTATCCAATACAAACAAGGTAAGTCCTCCGATTTGCTGTTCAATGTAATATTCAATGAAGCCATGAAGGACTTATGATTCGCCAAAATCTCATCCTTGTCAAATGATATGTTTTTGTATGTGGGATTTCCTGAGGGCTCATTTATTTCTAATTCTTTTACAAGACATTCGTAGTAGCACGATTTACATACAAAGACAATATTATTTGACTCTTTGACCGCAGGAACAACAACATACTAATCGTGAAGAGATGATAGACATTTCACATCCTCTGTGTCTCTGAAAACGGACTTCGGTCGATCATTCACACAGTTTTTCAACTTATGAATGCGACGTTTTATCAGAGACCTGATTGTTTTGACCCATTCTGACAAAGTGTCCAGTTCGTCTCGTTTAGCCCATGCTCTAGCATAGTCCTCAATGGAATCCATAAATAATTTGAAGTTATGGTTCCAATTGATGTGTTGGGGTTCTCTAAACTTAGGACCATGAGATATCACCTTTCGGAGATGTTCATGTTGAATTATGTTTAGATCCCCAGTAATAACATGGTCAGAGGGACTGTAAATATAAGGCGAGTGTTTTATTTATATAGTTATTTAAGAGATTCAGTTATTCAAGTCCTTACTTATTTCTTGAATCAACACAGAATGTATAAAATAAGTATGAAATAAAGGATTATCACAATTTCAAGTGATTTTATCTTTGGAGCTTATGTTACAGAAATTCTATATTTTACACATTGATAATTATTGGTCACGAGTCAGAAGAGAGGCAAAAATAAGCAATGGGATATTCATAAGTTGGACACGAACTGACAATGCTACGACAAAAAAAGGTTAATTAGGACAAACAACAACATAATGAAAAAGAATAAGCAACACCAACCCCGACAGAAACTGAGGTTGATCTCAGAGGTTCCCCGGAAGGATAAACAGGTCTTGCTCCACATGTGGAACCCGTCGTGTTTCTTTTGTTAGTACAAAACCCTGTGATCAATCTCATTTGGTTTGTAACATTCGAGGAAAAGAGGACAGAATTGGAATGACGACAATTGCATCATATCCGTCATCATCTGCAAAACAGATATTCCATAATTGTCAACCAACTTGTGATAGCGTCCGCACGTTTTTTAACGAGATGATTTTAACTTTACCACTTGGAAGTCTTGGTTTAATAATTTTTTTGTAAGCAGCAACCCTCTATCAAGGATTTCATGATAGGAAATACAAGCTCTTGAAAATCAGCTTATTTCCCTATCAAATGGGAAATATATATTCCATATGCAGGGTCAATAGTTCAAAAAGGTGCAGTTTTGATTGTTATAATTTTATAATAATTTTCCTATATGAGTTTTTACAATCATTTATTGTTAATATTTCGTTTACAATGGTTTCAATGAACAAGTTATTAATCTATAAGATTTAAACATCGGTAAACTAATGTTGCCTTAAGTAATCAGATGACGACTAATATCTTTCAATCGTTGTAACCGCAAATCCGTCCTCTTTTCTTCGTACTTGACCTACCGAATTAGACTTTTCACCGTGTTTGCACATACGTGAGAAGTATCAAAGTACCTTTCATGAGCACCTGAGATCATCCCCGATTTCTGATGGGGTTCGTGTTGCTCAGTCTTTAGTTTCTATGTTGTGTTTTGTGTACTGTTGTTTGTCTTTTTCGTGTTTTGCCATGACATTGTCAGTTTGGTTTTGATTTATGAGTTTGAATATCCATTCGGTATCTCTTTTACAAATTTACAAATATTGCTCTTTTTCTAAACTTATACTAAATAAAGAACAGTACCAAATAAAAAATATATATATGTTTATCAAAATAGCGGATGAATCTCTTTAATTTAACAGTAGGAACATCCAAACAATAAAGTACATTCATCAAAGAATAATACAGAGAAATTGCTAGAATATTTTGCACTCGTTTCCGTTTTCATACATTTTTGAGTTTTTCTTCATGCTTTGGTATTATATCTTGATAGCTAAAACAAAATACACATTTAAAATTACGATAATGAAATGTAATTCTGAAAAAATATTTATATATTTTCAGGGAATCAGACATGCAGTTATTAAGCCCATGTTCATGCATGTGTCTACGTTGTAACCGCAAATCCGTCCTCTTTTCTTCGTACTTGACCTTCCGAATTAGACTTTTCACCGTGTTTGCACATACGTGAGAAGTATCAAAGTACCTTTCATGAGCACCTGAGATCATCCCCGATTTCTGATGGGGTTCGTGTTGCTCAGTCTTTAGTTTCTATGTTGTGTTTTGTGTACTGTTGTTTGTCTTTTTCGTGTTTTGCCATGACATTGTCAGTTTGGTTTTGATTTATGAGTTTGAATATCCATTCGGTATCTCTTTTACAAATTTACAAATATTGCTCTTTTTCTAAACTTATACTAAATAAAGAACAGTACCAAATAAAAAATATATATATGTTTATCAAAATAGCGGATAAATCTCTTTAATTTAACAGTAGGAACATCCAAACAATAAAGTACATTCATCAAAGAATAATACAGAGAAATTGCTAGAATATTTTGCACTCGTTTCCGTTTTCATACATTTTTGAGTTTTTCTTCATGCTTTGGTATTATATCTTGATAGCTAAAACAAAATACACATTTAAAATTACGATAATGAAATGTAATTCTGAAAAAATATTTATATATTTTCAGGGAATCAGACATGCAGTTATTAAGCCCATGTTCATGCATGTGTCTACTGATTGTATATACAGGTAAGTTAACATTATTGATTCGATATAAGACATATTGAGTTGTAGTATCCAATATTGTTTAATAGAGATTATCAAAATTTTATATTTTAAATAATCTGGTTTAATTCAGTCAAATATTTGTGTGGGTGTTGCACTGTTTAGCGCATTGCCATATATGGCATCGTCATAGATGGCGCTCTCGCATGGAATTTGAATTTTGGAATTCCTGTATCTAGCACTTGTTAATATGTTGTCGACAACGAAGCAGGTGCTGCAGGAAATAGTTTAATTATCTAAAACTTAAAGATGCCAAACAAAAGAAATACCAGGGGATCGCCATCAAGGGCCATTGGAAAGAAGAGGAAGACGACCAGCAGGAAAGAAGGACAGGGAGTTCGGACCGTAGACATGACTCAAAAGAAGGACGGAGTTGGACGCAAACGAATGGACAGGAAAAGACAGGAGGTGGAACACGTGGAGACACAAGGACAAGAAGCTGACATATTATCAGGTTTAAACATGTATATGAAATATGCAGTGTCAAACACAGAAATGCCCAATGTAATAACCGGGCTCAAGGAAGAAGTAACTAAAAATATTAATTGTTATTCATTAGGAAATACTCCTGTTAAAGTATCTGTCTTGGAAAATTATTTAGAATTTTACCCACATAAAAATGTAGCACATGGAATTAAATCTGGTTTTAAATATGGTTTTTCATTAAAATATTTTTGCTCAAAGGAACCAAGGGAAAGTTCCAATTTAAAAAGTGCAATACAGCTACCCAACATTTTTAAAGAAAAATTAATGAAGGAAGTTAAACTGGGTCGCATTGCTGATCCTTTCAGATTCCCGCCTTTTCCAACACTTCAGGTATCACCAATGGGGCTAGTGCCAAAAAAGGGGATTTTAGACTTATTCAACATTTATCCTATCCTGAGAATAATTCAATAAATGATTTTATTAATAACGATCATTGTTCAGTGCAGTACAGTTCAGTGGACGAAGCAGCATGTTTGATTAATAGACACAAAACATTTGCCCGTTTAAGTTAGTGTGATGTAAAGGCGGCTATCCGCTTATTGCCTATTGCCCCGCAAGATTTTGACTTGTTGGGGATAAAATTTCAGGGTGAATATTATCCAAATAAAATGCTTCCAATAGGGGCTTCAATCAGTTGTGCCCTTTGGGAGAAATTTGCAAAAGTTTTGCATTGGATAATACAGCAAAAGAGGTATGCGATAAAATAGGTGTTCCTCTTGTTAGTGATAAGACTACTTTGCCTACTACATTACTCAATTTTTTTGGGTATAGAATTTGATACGAAAAATTTAATCATGCGGCTTCCAAATGAAAAACTTGTCAAACTCTCACAAAAAATCAGAGATAACTTAGACAGTTCTAAAATACTCATAAGGACATGCAATCTCTTCTTGGGCTCCTGAATTTTGCTTGCAAGGTGGCTGCTCCAGGCCGCACTTTCTACCGCAGACTCATAAATTCAACTAAGGGGGTAAGAAAATCATATTACAAAATTCGAGTAAACAAGCAGATGATAGCAGATTTAGAAGTTTGGGTAGACTTTTTAAAACAATACAATGGTGTCACTGTAATAACCGACAATGTATGGATATCAAACGAAAAATAGAGTTGTTCTCGGATAGTGCAGGGGGTCCAAAGGTGGGCATGGAATCTATTTTGCAGGTCAGTGGGCCCAAGGCATATGGCCAAAACATTGGGTTGAAACTGGAATCACCAGAGATATGACATTGTTACAGTTGTTTCCAGTTGTAGCAGCACTTATGTCCTGGGAATCATAACTTGTTAACAAAAAAGTTATTTTTCAGGTTGATAATCAGGCGGTTGTTCAAATCATTCATATGAAAACTAGCAAATCAAGTAGAGTTATGACTTTAGTAAGACAAAAGGTTTTGATGAGCTTAAAAAATAATACGTCAGTTATATCCCTTCAAAACAAAACCAAATTGTTAATTGTCTTTCTCGTTCTCAGTGGGGAAAGTTCAGAAGCCTAGCTCCAGAAGCAGACCAGTGGCCAACCAAAATTCCAACACAGATCTGGAACATTTAAGTCAGGTGGCGGATTATATTGTCAACCAAGGTGTGTCCAACAATACACAAAAATCATACAATTTGGCTCTGTCAAAACTTTGTGATTATTGATCATCATACAAATAGAAACAGCTAAGGCCAGTGCCAGTCAATGCTTTGCTAAATTTTATAGCTTTTTTAGTACAAGGTCTTTCAGGGGGTACCATATCATCTTATATATCAGGAGTTTCATATCACCATAAAATACAAGGCATACAGGATACTTCAAAATTCTTTATAATTGGCAAGGCATTAGAGGGAATAAAAAGAATTCAAGGAGGGAAACGTAATGACATTAGAGCACCAATTACATTTCAATTTTTATCAGATATGATAAGTTGTTTAGATAAAGTATGCAAGAATAAATATGAAGCTGCGTTATTTTCAGCAGTTTTGTCAGTTGCCTTCTTTGGTTTGCTTTGGGTAGGGGAAATCACTACTTCAATACAAGTCTGTTTTAAATGGCTCCAACTTAACAATTGCTGATATTTTTGTTAAGAAAACAGTCCTGGAGCTGAGAGTAAGGTGGTCAAAAACTGACCAAAAGGGAAGGTCCGTTACTTTATTGCATGTCTGATACTTGGGAATACAAAAAACTACTGTCCGCTACGACTCATTAACGACTACTTAAAGGTACGACCTACCTGTAACAATAAAGATATTTTTATACATTATAATTGTATGCCCTTAACTAGATACTAATTCAGCAGTATACTGGAAAAGGCTTTAAATTTTCTTCATATCAGTAAAGGTCAGTTTAGGTCACATAGTTTTAGAATTGGGGGTGCCACTGAAATGGCCAGGCAGGGGTCTTAGAGGCGGTAGTTATGAAATTAGGCAGATGGAAATCGCAGGCTTATTCTCGCTATATTAGGTTGCATTTTTTCTAGTTACGAAAAGGCTAACAATCTACAAGTTTTCAAAGGTCCCAAGATTTTATGGATTGTTGGAAGTTCCCTTGTTCACTGGGCCAATGTAGAGGCAAAGAAATATGGTAGGGCCAACCTTGGACTAGATTCCAAAGGAGTCACAACATACTGGATTGGTCAACCTGGTTTACAGTTAAAAGATTTGGACTCCCTACTGGATGCGAAAAGGAAATTTTTACCTCCTCCTAATTTCATGATTATTCACTGTGGAGCTAATGATTTAACAGATTTAGAATTGACAGGGAAGGGTTTAATTGAAAATGTAAAATGTTTTATCCTACGTTACCAGGTTTTATTCAAAAATGTTATTATAATCTTGACTTCAATGCTACAGCGCAGATACTGGCATTTTGCCCCTTTAAATGCGGGTCCAATAATCGAACAGAAGAGGAAAAGGGTTAATTCAGTGGTCAAAAACTTTGTAATCGAAAATGGGGGGAAAGCTATTTTACATGAGAACATTAGGGCAAGTGAAGTGTCTTTATACAGAACAGATGGAAGTCATTTATCACAAACTGGAAATCAGGTTTTCTTAAATAATATACAAGGGGGGTGGGGGGTTGAGTCTTTTCTACGCACAAAAAAATCCATTTTTCCACAATGCTTCAATAATTAAAATTTTTTGGAGGTGAGAACCCAAGTCAGATTTGGTAGCTGACTTGGGCTCTCATGTGGCGGTCCAGAGAGACTGGTAGTGATTGGGGGATTATTTCACTCGGCCCTTGCCCTGGGCCTGACAAGTTCTACAATTTGCAGGTTTGGAAAATGTTGTTAGTGGTAACGGTGGGGTCTACAGATGGGTAACTCTGGGACCTCCTCCACCTCATCTTTTAGAGGGGAGGCCTACAGGTGGGGCACTAATAACTGGAGCATTGGTAATACGAGTGTTTTCTCCGGTAACTCCCCATGGTAGGTGGTGGTGTAACCGTGTTTAACTACCAGGGGTTTTATGACACTATGTCAACATAGGTCAGCTGATAGCCATTGTGTATAGGTAATCGGTAGTCACCCTGGCGCCTCAACAAAATATTATAGAATACTTTGTAACCAAAGTAATGCCACAAAGTAAAAATGTATATTCTAGTCATGAAAATGTAAATACAAGTTGGTATAATAAAATGTATGTTTAATTTGAATGATTGTTTTTTGTATAAGTGGTAAAGGTTATCAATGAATAACAGAGGATAGAACCTCTACACAACTGAGTATAGTACACAGAAAGTCTGTAGTATCTTAATCTTTGTATCTGTGTTTTACAATAACAACAGGCAAAGAGAGACAACTCTATAACAATTTTAATCAATTTGTGATTAAGGAAAGGACTTCAACATAGTTTAGAAAAAAACGACAACAACTCTTGATCGTTGTTCTTCATCTCATTGTTATTCGTGCAGTATTATTTTAGGGTCTTCTTCTATGAGTATTGCAATTAATTTACCGACAACACAATTTTCGATGATTCAAAAAGTCTCCCTCATTTTGTACTGATTATATTTTCATGCATCTGTTCAGAAGGAAATTGCAATGAAACTAAGAAAGATTTGTTTTTCATTAAATTCACAGTTGTTTTTTATGATGATTATAGAATACTGAAAGTCAACTAATTTTCGTTAGCGATTTATTTCGTCATTGGGAAAATAACACCCATATCAATTGTTGCTTATATAAATGTATCAGGAATATGTGAGAATCGCAAAAAAAATAAATCGTCTTATAGTCGGGTAGAAAGGACTTACCACGAAATAAAGTATCCACAAAAATAAGTATCCACAGAAACTTCACCAATTTGTAAGAAAATAATTAGCATGTTAACCAATTTTCAAATTTACTGCTTTGTTTCCATTTTTTAATTGACCAATGGGGACAATTTTAAGTATTAATACAGCCTGTGTTCAGTGTCATTTAAAACATTCTGAAAGGAGAATGTGTCGATGAACGTACGTTGGTGAGAATTTTCGTTACGTAAACACTATCTAGTACTTACCAAATAATATAAGTTTGTTAAATTGAATATAAAAAATTCTGACAAAAACCGTTCTATATCCTGCATTAAAAGTCCGTTTTGAAAATGGCAGGCTTTTTGCCATTAAATGAAGTCAGAAAATGATGGTTTTTCTCTATACAGAGCCAGTGGCTCAAGTTCTGTGTATTGTGTATGATGTAACAATAGTTTGACTTCATCGGTGCCTCTAAAATTAAGCGTTACTTTTGGATTACTAGATAATGGTGACAGAAAGAAAATTCTCATCAGTAAATTTCTATCAAAACAATCTTCTTTCATTATGTTTTGATGAACACAGCCTGTTTTTGTTTTTTGAAATTGTCGCCATACGCAAATTTAACAACTGGAAACACAATTTTTTAGTTGGATATGGTATATGCATTATCAACATCTTGATACAATTTTAGTCATTTGGGGGATACAATATTGAATACACATGTATTTTTTTTTAAATTTTGTACATTGGATACTAATTTTATCATTCTGTATTTTCATGTGATTAATTCCCTTTCTGAAGCAGTGTGAAGTATTTATATTGTAGCAAATTCATTTTAATCTTTTTCATAATGCTTATGACATAGGCAGTAAGATGTTTTATTATTACATTTTCCCAATGGACTAAGCAGGGAAAAAACACAGGAAAGAGCTACAATTCTTATTAATGATAATATTTTCTTTCTGTAATTTACAAAAGACTTATTTCATATTTTATCTAAAATGTTAAACAACTTGTATACAAATCTTCTTCTAAAAATATTACTTACTTTACTTATCCTCTTCATCCCCAGTGGGACATAAGGCCACAACAAACTGCCTCCACTTCTCTCTGTCCTTAGCCATGTACTGGGCTTGGCCCCAGGTGTAACCCATTGCTTCCAATTCTGCTGTAACAGTTCTTCGCCAGGTGATTCTAGGTCTCCCTGGTTTCCTTTTTCCTGGTGGTGTCCAGCTGTTTTAGGTGTGCGGTGTTGTGGCATTCTCAGTACATGGCCTAACCATCTAAATCTTCGTTGTTTGATTTCTGCTGTTATGCTCTTAGCATAATTACATTTCTCCAAAAGGCTCTTGTTGCTGATCTTATTTGGCCAGAATATTCTGTTGATCTTTCTTAGGCAGCTAGTATGGAATGCATCTACTTTTTGAAGGTCACTAACTAAAACACGCCAAGTTTCTGAACTACACAGTAGGACAGATTTTATATTGCTGTTGTAAATTCGCACTTTGGTCCTTAAACTGTACTGGTTAGACTTCAAGATTGTATGAAGTCTTGCAAATGTTGCACTTGCCTTAGATAGTCTTGCCTTTATCCTTTCCTGTCCCATTATCTTGACTTATGATGCTTCCAAGGTAAGTGAAATCTTCAACACTGTCCACTGGCAGCTCATTGATTGTTATTGGTGTTGTATTTCTAGTGTTTATTGACATAACCTTGGTCTTCTTGGCATTAACATTCAGACCAGTTTGCTTTGCATAGTTGTTAAGTATGTTGGTCTTCTCCTGGAGGTGTTCACTTGTTGTTGATAATATGGCAATGTCATCAGCAAATTCAAGGTCTTTTAGCTGGTTTAACATGGTCCACTGGATACCCCTTTTCTTGTCTGATGTTGTATGTCTTTGTATTCAGTCGATGGCCAAACTTCAAATGAGTCTGAGATAGAGCTATCAAGGATGACACTGCATTCAAAGCTGTTATAGAGGGCTTTTATTAGCATCAAAATTTTAGGTGGAATTCCATATGATTTAACAATTTTCCAAAGAGTTTCTCTATGTATACTGTCAAAGGCCTTTTTGAAGGCGATGAAATTAATGAAAGTGGTGTGTTCCATTCAATGCATTGCTCAATGATGTTCCTCACAGTGAAAATTTGGTCAATGCATCCTCTGCCTATTCTAAAGCCTGCTTGTTCTTCTCTAAGCTTTTCACCCACAATTTTATCAATTCTTTTTAGATGAAGTTTGCAAAATACCTTACTAGGGACAGAGAGTAATGTAATCCCTCTCCAGTTGTCACAGTTGCGTAGATTGCCTTTCTTTGGTAATTTCACAATCAAGCCTTTGCTCCAGTCTAATGGAATGTCCCCTTCTTTCCAGATGACAAGGAAAAGATTGTGGAGTACTTTGGATGATGTATCTATGTCTGCCTTTAACATCTCTGCGTGGATGGAATCAATGCCTTGTGCCTTCCCTGTTTTCAATGATTTAATGGCATTTCTTACTTCTTCTATAGTTGGTGGTTCTGTGTTGATGTTTAAATCATCTTCTGATGGTTCAGGATTAGCTATGATATCAGGCTCAGGGCAGTTTAATACCTCTTTGAAATGTTGGACCCACCTTTCTGCTTGTTCCCTTTCTGTTTTCAATGATTTGCCATTTTTGTCGTTTACATGTGCTGTCTGGGCATTTGATTTCCACAGAGTTGTTTGGTGATTTTGTAAACTGTACTCAACTCTCCCAGAATGGCTGCCTTTTCTGCTTCTTTTGCTAGGTCCTCCTGATATTGCCTTTTATCTTTTCCATCACTTCTTTTAACTTCTTTGTCTTTTGCTCTGTATGTTACTTGTAGTTGATCTTTTAACTTTTGGATTTTGCATTTACTGTTTTATAGTTTTTCTTTCTTCAATTTTTTGCCAGGTTTCCGATGTTAACCAATCTTTGTTCTTCTTTGTCTTGTGACCAACTGTCTTTTTTAAAAATATAATAATGATTTAATCAAAATTATTTGTCAATATGGCTTATCTAAAGTTTTTTTTATTTGAATGACTTCATGATATTAAGAAATATAGCCACAAAATAGATAAAACAAAAATTCAAAGATATCATAAGTTATTGACTAGCATTTGAAAACAAAATAGAATCCTTGTAATAATAATTTTTTTAGAAAAAAAAAGTAATGGTACATCACTTTCTTTGAGGTCAATTGTTCATTTGAATTATTAAATCAATTATTATTAACTTCTAATCATGCAAATGGTATGTTTATAGACAACACGAAGCCTGTAATTTAACAAGCCTGTTTTCGTAACAATAAAATTATCATTATTTAATTCTTTACAATAGATTTTGATACCAAAGTTGTACAATGTATTATTATTTAGAAAAAGTACAAATATGATTTTGAAAAAAACGAATTTTGTTAATTTTTTTTTTTTCAAATCTCAAAACAAGAGTTGTGCCTATAGCATCAATGAAGAGAATTTAATTTTCCAAATGCCCATCTGATGCATATAAGTTAGTATCATATTTGTTGTTCACTTAGGTTCTGTCGTACATTCAGAATATACTAGTATATCATAACAATTAGATTATTAATCTTTATTAAAAATGCTTATGAAGAATTTGCAGATCTCTGAATAAAGTTAATCTTATGAAAAGTAATTATCAAAAAAAAATGTCTTGTTTATTGAAACTATTGTAAACCAATCAAATATGACATCTTCAGTTTGGCTAATTTCTGTCAGTCAACAGCTAAAATTTCCTCCAGGAAAAATAAAGTACACATCTATAGATTGTGAAATTTTTTATGGACTATCAAATTAAATCATTTTATGTTCTGTTTATTTAATTATCCTCCTTTGTTACCAATGGTGTTATGAATCTAAACTAAATATCATGTTTTTCCCCCTTGCTCAATAATTTCCTGGTTTTTGTCCTAACAATAATATATAATTAAGGATTATTAAAAAAATATTTATTGAATTATTCTGATTTATATATCAAGCGATTTTGATTTCAAAAATTTAATATTATATATATATATATATATATTTATCACATATTTGTTACGAATACGTTGGGTTTTTGCATATGTAATAGCCTCAAAATTGCCCGGGGCAAAAAAGAGGTTATTGGTTATTGTGCCCTGATTCCAAATGACGTGACGTCATTGCGTCCTTAACGACAATGGCGAACAATGACGGTGCTCGTTTCATCGCAGTGGAGGAAAGCGATACGGCAGAATTTGTAGAGCAAATGAAAAACGCTTACACAAGGAAAAAAACTGAAAGTGACATTAAAATTCTAAAGGAGTGGTTAAAAAGTGCCGGAGAATTACGCAATTGTGTATTGCCATATTCCAAAGTAAGTGGAAATGTGACAATAAATTTCTATGGAGTAAATGATAAAAACTAAATTTGAAAATGTGATAAAACTTTTAGTGATAAAATTTTTAAGATTTTACCTGTTATATTTCATTAAATTGTTATAATTGAACTTTTTTCTCTTTTCTGCAGAACTTGAATATGTGATAAATAGATTATAACATGGCTAAAGCCTCGGGATGATAACAGGGCCAATATGGAAAAGGGCATGTTATAATCTATACATATATATATGGATATATTTTCGGAAAATACATACATATGCAAGTTATAAAATACGAATATCTTATGACTGAACTCTGAAAATATAATCCTTTACTTAAAGAAGCATTTATATTGTCAAAACTGCTGGACTCGCATGGTACATATTCTTAATGTACATATGCCAAGAATATTTCTTTCAACCCAGACCTTTTAGACAAAGTTAAAAATTGTAGGGACTTGATTGAAGTAAATTCTTTAAAGCCCTTGATTTCAAATTAATTTGAAGAAAAATGTAAGAAATTATTTGAAAATAGAATAAAAAGTTATGATGAAAATTGTAAACTGTAACTTTACTGATGAATTTAAAACTTAACTTGGATAGAGATTTTTTTTTTATTTAGCGTCCAATGACGTTTTTATAAGAAAATACTGCACTTAATTAAGAATTAGTGACCATAATTGAGAAATAGAAAAAAGACACTAATAAAGATATAATATGTTAACCGTGCCATTTGCTAGAAGATGAAAAACACTTCCTCTTTGAACGTAAAATTAATCAAAAAAACTAAGGGATAATCTTTTTGAAAATTGTTTACCTTCTCATAGTTATGTCTCTTACCCCAGAACAATAAAAAGTAAAAGAAATGCTTAACCCCTCTTTCATGGAACATGTTAAAAACATTGGCTCATTTATAAAACAGTCATTAAAACTGAGGGCAGAGGTTTTTTTTAATTTTGAACAATGGTGAATGGAGATCAGTATCTCTAATTCCTAACTATTTTGAATTTAGAAAATAGTTTGAGAAACATCTTTTCAATAGAAAAAGGCAGACATTATAAGATTCATAGAAATTGGAGACTCTGCAAGTTTGCAATATATTAAAAGATGAGATTCATTTATTCGATCTTCATTTGCCAAAAAAAATACATGTAGGAAATACTTAAATTGAGAGAATCATTTAAAAGGTATAACAGCAAAACAAACAGTCATGACAGTATAAGCTACAAATAAAAACTGAGGTCACGAGACAATTTGTTCTAAAAATATTATTAAGCTAAATAATCAACAATTTCTGTTATTTTATTTTATCTTTTAATTTTCTTGTCATTATATCAGTAATCAAATTTGGCAAATACATATATTTTACTTGAAACATATCATATACGTGTACATTTATAATGTACATGAAACACTTTACTTGTCAGCTATTCAATTTTACCACTTAAATGCAATCATGATTTCCTTTTACCCTTGACTAGGTTTTGATTATTACCTTGCGTATTATTTAAGCAACAGGGGGTATTATTATGGACATATAGGGCCATCATGGTGCACATAGTTTTTATGGCCACAATTAATCAGAGTATGTCACAGGTAGTATTGTAAATTGAAAAGTGCGTCGGACGGATGCGATTTATGATATGCTGCTTTTACTTACAGCTACTTGTATGCGAGGTTATGACAGTTCAATAATACCTGAACTAATCTACAAAGTAAATAACCAAACTATTCAAGGAAACAACTCAAAAGTTTGTACAGATAATGAGACCCTTACATCATCCTGTTTGAATGGGGGATCTTGCTTTGCTGTAGATAAAGGAGATAGAATAGTGCGATGTGCGTAAGTAGTTATTTAAAAATAAGAAGACGTGGTATGATTGCGATTGAGACAATCTCTCCACCAGAGAACAAAATGACGCAGAACAATAGGTCATCAAACAGATTTCAACATTGGTAAAATCCATAACACATACTAAGCTATAACAGGACCTTAAATGACAAATGTAAAACACTTCAAACGAGAAAAATAACGGTCTGATTTATGGACAAAAAAGAAACGAAAACAAATTTGATATACAACAACAAACGACAACCACTGAATTACAGGCTGACGACATGAGACTGGCACTTCTAGAATGCGTCGGGTTTGTAAAAACATTTGTTAAGGGCTAAACCCGTTTCAAGAAACCAGAACATAACCTAATCCAAGGGTAGAATAATAAAATGATTCGGAGAGTGAAACGAAAAGTAAATGAAAGAATATGTCAACGGTCATTACTATTCTGATTTTTCTATGCTTGGATCAATCGTCTGCAGATTTTATGATAAAACAGTTATAAAATCCTTAATTAGTTTATGGAATGTTATTTGGAAGAGGAGTCTAGAAAAATGCAATCGTGAAATTTATTAGATTGTCTTGTGATGTTTTTAAACAATGGCATCTCACTTTCACAATGTCATTTATATTGTTTAATCATGACTATTTGTACCATTAAAAATTTATTGGACGGAAGTGACATTTTCATAAAACCGCGTCCTTTATGATAAGATTTCACATTCGAAAAAAACTTCTCCACCCCCCCCCCCCCCCCCCCCCCCCCCCCCCAATTTTGTTGAAGATTATTGGATTTTGCATTGTATTTGTCCGAATTGGGCTTTACCTTTTGGTCACTTTAGGTTTTATCAGCTTGTAACGTTAGAATTGAATTTCGGATTTCAAATATTTTGGCCTCGGTAATTACTGACGAGACATCGATCGTCGAAAAACACATTTTGTTAAATTAAAACTAGTACCGTTACAGTTATTAAGAAAGCCAAGGATACCACATCTGTTTTGTCATTATGTTTGTACAGTATTTTTGGTGTAGAAGGATCAACACGCATGCTTATTTCGAACATTTGATTTTTTTCCTACATGATATGACCGTCGTATTCATATGTAAGATTAAGGAGATAAATTTCAACTTTATTTGTTTTCCGTGTTCTGTTTCAATTAAAATTGTGCTGTTTAATGATTTTATTGCTTAACTGGCGTAAAAAAAAACTCATGAAAGATACCAGGCTTTTGAAAGATTGAAACTTCTAAAATCTTTTATCTTGAAAATAGTGGTGAAAACTACGAACACTTATCTATGATTGAATGATAATCTTAAAAGGCCTATTTGTATTCAGTGCCAAAACTATCATAACTTTTTAATTTCCTTTCTTTATTAAAACGGAAGTTTGTGAATAGTACACTAAGTGTACAGTATATAATTAACGTTTTAAATGTAATTTGAAAAAAAAAAAAAAAAAATTAAAATCTATTTTACAGAATGTGCAAAAAGAAAATTGTGCTTTCAAGACTTCATTGTATACAATTGCTATGTTCCATGAAAATCTCTCAGTATTTATTTTAAAATCTGCTTATATCACAATTAAAATTGTCACTTATCTGAATTTATGAAAAAACATTTGGATTTAACACATCAGTTTAAACTAAAATCTGTAAAGTTAACGTGTAAACAGCAAAAGTTTGAATTGACTTAGAATGAGAATTTAAATTTTTCTGATAATTTGTATTGGATTTTGGCTAACAGATGAACATAAATGGTTGAAGAGATTAAGATCTTCTGGTAACAAGTTTGGAAAGTTAGTATGTGGCAAAACCTTTAGGAATGTTGGGTCCTTTATGCTCGTCAACTTTTTACCTTCTGTGATTCGAGAGTCACCGATTGGTGAGTCCTTTGAAGACGAAATGCGCGTCTGGCGTACATCCTGGTATCTATGATGAGTGTATTTTGTGAGAGATAAATTTCTCTGTTATTCACTGAATGCAGTAGTTTTACAACATCCTGCAAGTTATTGTACTATAATGAAGTTTAATTTCATATAATTTGCAAACTGGTCACATTCATATCTTGCACCAACGCTTCGTTTCTAAGATGATTTTATATCAGTTTGAATCTACTGCTCTATAAAGTCGTCGTTTATTCCATCCAAGATTTTGCTTTCACGCACTTTATTTTGTCGTCCATGGAAGTTGGTATTAAACTGTAGGCAAATTGTAAGAACGTAATTTATATAAAAAAAAAACAAACAGAAATTTATCTTTTAAACCTAATATGTCGATAGTTTCACTTATTGAACAACCTCACAACTCGGGGTCTAAGATGTAACAAAAAGTTCTATATATAAATAAGTTAAAGGGTTGAAAAATGTAACACAGAAAAAAACCGGTTCGGACGCACAAAATGTTAAAAGTGTCACTTTTATATATTCAAATTTTTAGACCTCTTTCTATTTTATTTGTACTCTCGAGTTACTGACTGCTTGATATAATGTATAACATAAATAAATATTCTTTTGAAATATTTGAAAAAATCATGTGAAAAATAAATATAGAAGACTACGTGCACATCTGAGATCGGATTTGGATATTCGTTAAATGCAGTCCAGAGTCCAATACTTACCTTAGCTCTTCTTTTTTTCTAGTTCTTTTAGAATTTCTCATTTTTCGAAAGTACGCAGAAATAGCAAAACCACGAACAAAATTTTCAACCATGCAATACCTAACTTGTAGGTCAGGTTTTGTAACACCGCTAAAGCGTTTTGTAACTGCTCGAAAAAGTCGAAAAAAAAACAAGTTTCAAACATATGAAAAGTATTTCATGATGATGATAAAAGCGGATTGATGCATATGCAAAAAGTAAAATCACAAAAATACTGAACTCCGAGGAAAATTCAAAAAGGAAAGTCCCTAATCAAATGGCAAAATCAAAAGCTCAAACACATCAAACGAATGGATAACAACTGTCATATTCCTGACTTGGTACAGGCATTTTCTTATGTAGAAAATGGTGGATTGAACCTGGTTTTAAAGCTAGCTAAACCTCTCACTTGTATGACAGTCGCATCAAATTCCATTATATTGATAACGATGTGTGAACAAAATAATCAGACACAATAGGTAAAAATATCAAAAATAAGGGTACAGCAGTCAACATTGTGTTATCATCTTAATCACTATAAAAACAAACAAATGTAACAAAGAAGCACAAAAAGGCATAAATCAAATTTAACATCCTCGTTTTGCTTTTTTATTATACGATTTTATTTATCTATGTAAAATCCACCCATAAAGGATAGAAGGTTTTACGTACTGGCGTAGAATCGCGCGTTTCACGTCACCTAGGTAGATATAAAATAATTTTTTCGGTCAAAGTATGACGGGATACATAAGTACAGTCACGTCAAATGGATATCACAAAAAATAGACTCAACAGTAAAAGTAATAATAATAAAATAAAATAATTTTGTCGTTCAAAGTATGACGGGATACATAAGTACAGAGTCACGTCAAATGCATATCACAAAAAACAGACTTAACAGTAAAATTAATATTAATAAAGACAAATAAAAGAATACTATAACACGTTATTAAGATGATAAACAACGTCAGTACGCATAAACTATACTTCAAGACCATCGTGTATTATTTGTGAAGATGATACGGAATATTTATCAACAAGGTCTTGGTACCTTCCAATGATTTTTTTAGAAAAAGGACGAGACGTTCTTTGACATACCCCTGGTTCATCAACGTTCTGCTCAGACACTGGTGACGTTTTACAAAGTCTGTTTAGGAACTGCAAGTTCTTGAATAGTTATATTTCTTATTTCAGATGTTACACTGGGTATATAGGTAAACGCTGTGAAAGAATAGACCCAAGCATCACGTTCAAATCATTTGAAAGTAAGATTTATGTTAACATGTATTTGTTGTATTCATATTTACATATATGACATACAGTAGTATATAAATTTAAAGATATACATAATTCAAAAGACTTTAATAATAATAATGATATATTTTTTTCTATTTAAAAAGAGTAACGGAGTTAAAACAACATCCAACTAGCAAATTGTAATAGTCAATACGATGTCTTTAATCTTATTTGAATATTTATATAATCTTTCACTCTCGTATTACATTTTAAAATATGAAAATATAGTAGTTAAATGCTTCTACGTATTTATCGATTAAACACTATAAAAAGTTGGCTAGCTTTTTCACGCTTTGATGCAATTGTAAATCGAAAGCCCTTGACGACGTCGTCATTAACAACGTCTGATGACATGCTGTTAATAAAGAGTAATTATGTATTGTTAAATAACAAAAATCTACTTGCGACTATACGTCGTGTACTGTGCTACAACCCTAGAAAAAGCCAACTAGAAAATGGCATTACATCGACCACCGAAAGCTACATTTTTATATAGCCTCGGTGTTCGAGTGGTCAAGGGCGCTGGACACGGTGCAGGCGGTGATGCCACGATGTCACAAAAGCAAGTTTCGAATCCCGCTAAGGGAAGAACAAGACTAAACATATGTTTATCAAAATGATTCCAAAGTGCACAGCAAACTGAATTGAATTACATGCTGACAGTTTTTCTATATGGCATTTTTTTCAGAAAAAGAAGCCATAAATGGAAGACTTATCCCAGGTATTACAGCATTAGTTGCTTTTATACTTATTGTGGTTCTGATGGTTGTATACATAAGAAGAATTGACAAGAATTATAGGTAAGTTTGCAATAGTTTTGATGAAAAAAAAAAACAATTTTGGCACCTTTTTCAACAGAAGTGAACTTTGAAATTGTCAGAGTAAAAGGTACATTTTTCACCTGTTTTACTTTTCCATCTGTTTTTAGTCGATGACCATTGAATAGTCTTTTGCAGTCGAAATGTGTTTATAACGTGACAATTGATTTGCACATCAAATACGCCGATGATGATAACGTTTAAATACTTGATGTTGTGAACGACAATCTATTTGTCGAGTTTAGTGGATTGATATTTCTTCATCAAAAAGTCAACATTTTGATGTGCCGTCATAGTGCACAATTACTGGATGACTTGATTTTGTACTCACACGAAGCTGAACTCATACATAACGTTTTCCAAAGACAAATAGAAAAAGCATCTTGCAAACTTATTAAATTTTACTTTGAGATATATTGATGATGTTCTGTCACTCAATAACCCACATTTCAATCAGTGCTTACTTACTTTAGATTTCAGAGTGACCTTGAGATTGAGGATATAATCAAAAGAAGGTTTGCTTCATATTTTGGTCTTTACCTCTATGATAAAAAAGAAGGACGATTTTAAACTAGAATTTATGACCAACATTTGATTCCATATTCATCATTTATTAATTTCTCATCTCTCAGCAGTAAACAAAGGCAACAGTAGTATACCGCTTTTCAATAGTCATAAATCGATTAGGCGAAAACTAATACGGGTCACAAACCAAAACCGAGGGAAACACATCAACTATAAGAGGATGATACAGTAACATACCCATCTTCCCTATCGAATCTCGTTTACATATCACAGTTATCATTGCGATCTTACATGTTTACACTGTAAAGACTTCACAAACAGGGGTATGGTTCTCACAAAAAAAACTGCGTAACAAAGGAAGAGCTACTGATTTCAAAACTTATAACTGTATTGATTCAATTAATTTGTCTTGTATTTTAATCTCCTTATTTGATAACATAGAGTCATCTATTATAGCAAATACGTATAAAAGCCCAGTAGAAGTTCAAGTTTGAATCATACTCTAGTTGCTTCAGACGACAGTTTAGAAAAGAGTGACCCTTCAACACGAGACAGTGAAAGCACGAAGTTAAGGTGGCTCACCCCAATAAGGACCCCCGGTAGAATTTTTTTATTTTCACATATTTTGTAGATTTGTTTATGCTGAATCCAAAAATGCAAAGAAAAAAGGGGGTCACCAGTCTCGTTTTCCCCTCAAATGGAAGCGAAATGTGCAATTTTGACCCTATTTCCAAACTTTTACACCCTTTCAACAATAACGACTACATCAAATTCAAAGACTTTTAGAACCATGTCAGTATGATTATTATGTGAAAAAACAATTAAATTTGAAATGTAAACGTTCCCCTTGGTTGTTTTAGACTTAAAAATCCTTTTATTTTCAGATTTGTGTCTAAATTTGGCATTTTTTTAATTTCAGTTCAAGGCTAAAAATATTGGTTAAATCGATTTTTCGTAAAATTTTCCCGGTAGATTTTTTTTAAAAACGGATATGTCAAAGCTATGAACTTTTCGAGCATTTTAAGGTAAAATAAAATGGGGGTCACCAGGCTTTTAAAAAAGTTACGAGCTTTTGTTTAACCCCTCTACCCCATGAGGTCTGATTTCAATGCACTCCATTAATTACTTTATTGTGATTTTGTTATTGATGTCTTTAAATAAATAATGTTTGTATTATATCAATGGACGAAAGCTGAATATAAATGTGATGAACATTTTACTGTTTGTTATAAAAAAGCGAAATTTTGATTATTTTGGTGAAATACGGTAATTTTGTCTGGCGCGAGTTGCTTCCCTCTAATCTGGCGCCATAATTAGACAACCGAAATTTCAGGGTCGCCATTGCTGAGCAGCATACTGCACTGATAAATACGACCATGTGCATGAATAACAGACATAGTGGCGAATAGACAACGATGAAGGTAGAGTCATTACATAAGAAAACATCGATTTTAATATATAAGACAGCCAAATGTTATCAGTATCACGAAAAATACAAAGTGGGGGGTTATTTCAAAATACTCGCTACTGTAGAAAATCACTGCGGCTGAAACCTTGCATGGGCTAAATTTCTGTTCTATGTATAATCGTTATGGCTGGTATCTTATTTATGTGTTTACTTGACCCTTACCTGCTAACTGGCAAGTTGTGAACATGTATAGCCTGTTTTGAAAAAATATCCGTGTCAAACAGTCAAAGAGGAGGGGATGGTCATTTTCAGCATCTCATGATCTGCGCTACCGTTAGCGTCAAATGAGTCTTGATTTTATATCGTCATTCGTAAAATCTAATTTTGTAGCCACGTTAGGGTCAAATGAAGTTAAATATTTATCGTTAGCGTCTATAATGACTAGTAAAACAGGTTGGGAACAAACCCTCTATATGGTGTTTATACCTGTATAGAGGAATAATCCTTCTATAGAGGGATAAAAGAGGGGTATTTTTGTTTAGACTGGATTTTAAGCAAAATAGGGCAGAATGGCATTTTCTAGTTATATTTGCTATAATCTATAGCACTATATATGCATCAATTATTGCACTTTACTGTATTCTGTATTTCTTTACAAAAAATGGCCTGGGATGCCCAGTTTTCTGCTACAGTGACAGAACTTGCAATTTATTGTATAATAACCTATCTGAACACCTGATCAACAACAAAAGGGACATGCAGTTGACCTTTAAATTTTATGTTAAATCTAACAATAGAAATTCTGTTCAGTGAGGCATAACTGAGTGGAATTTACCTGATCATTATAGCTTTCAATTATGGTGTACAATAGATTGTATATTCAGTCAGTTTAGCAGTAAACTGGGCATGTGAAATGAAATTCAGTACATCAATTGGTGCATCAAATGTAGCAGGTTACTGCCATAATAAGTAGAAAATGCCATTCTGCCCTATTTTGCTTTAAATCCAGTCTTACTAACAAAAATACCCCTCTAGAGGGATAATTTTATCCCTCTATAGAAGGATTATTCCTCTATACAGGTTTAAACAGTACACCATATAGAGGGTTTGTTCCCAACCTGTAAAATGGGGTACCCCATAACTTCCCTCGGACAGGGGTTCATGATTACCACTCCCTATCCCCAACTCCCATTTCTCTTCCCTTTTACTCTAAAATTTTCTCCCCTAACTTCTACTTCCATCCCCCTTGCTCCCAGACAAAAAAATTGCAAAATATATTTCCCAGATTATTCATACCCCCCCCCCCCCCCCCCTCTTTTTGAATTCTTGTCCTTTCACCCAAAATCATGTTTGCTCCAATTCACGTTCATCCCTTTTACATTCCCACCCTGAGTCTGTTTGTACCTTTCCTTTTATCTAAATCATGCTTTTGTTAGTATAGTTACTATAACAATAAAATAAAGATATATTAAGTTTATTTTTATTGTTTAAAAATAAAGTGACTCACACGAGATCAAAGGTTTTTTTTCTATTTATAATCTTCATAAGATTTACTTCTACCAAACTGGTTACTTTTATTTTCACTCAGACCAGGCTAACTAACGGTAACAGACCTGCACATGATACCCCCTTTTCTCGCTTCCTGATCACTCATTCCCATTTTCCATTATCCCTGTCCACCCGCTCAAGGGGTTCGATTGTTTTTCGTTTGGTTTCTTGAGAATATAAATGGCCTGATTTGTAAATTATAACCACTACAGTACGAGGCAATACATTTTATTGATGGATTCGTCTTGATCACAATTTGTTTACAATTAAACAGTCCCCCCCTCCCCTGTCTCTCTTTTGTATAAAAAATTCCATAACTTCAAGTATTAGGTTTAAACATACACGTAGGGCTTATCTTGTTTACCAAATAACACATACATTTGAGTTGAAAAATTCATTATTGTTTTGTGCTTAGTATTTTTAAACACAAAATTTGTATATCCCATATTCCAAACAGGTTACAAATTAAGACACCTCAGCATAATTTGGTTGACGAGGAGTACAAATGTAGCTCAGCTGCATTTTAGAATTTTTAGGCAAAGAAATAACTTGTCCCTGGCATTGAAACAGCATGCCCCGAGAAGTCTGTCTTCAACATATATATAAAAACAAAATCACTATTTACACTTGCTGTGCATGTAATTTTATTTTGTTTGCTCATTATTGTTGCCACAAATTCTTCATTTTTTTACGCTGTAGTGGAGTGGGCATTAAGTTTTACCCTTGTCTGTCTGTACGTATGTCCCAAAATTGGTGTCCGTTCTCAGTTTGCCTCAACCAAATGTTATGAAACTTATACACAATGCTTATTACCAACAAACACAGCTCAAGTTTGAATTTTTTTGGTGGTGTCACTTTTACTGTTCTAGAGTTATGCCCCTTTACAAATGGAAAAATTGCTGAATTTTTTGTTTCTGTTCTCTAACTTTAGTTTGCCTCATCCAAATGTTATAAAACTTATACACATTACTTATTACAACAAAATTCAGGTCAAGTAAAATTTTGGGTAGTGTCATTCTTACCGTTCTTTAGTTATGCTCCTTTATAACTTTATATGCAAGTGGGGGCATCATCTGTGTCCCATGGACACATTCCCCATTTATTTAAAATATGAACTACATTATGCTTTTAAATGTCAATCATGGTTGATTTTCTGACAGAATTACTCTGACATTTAATTTCAGGCTTCAATTACATGTAAGAGGAAGGAATGATTTGTTGTGAAAGATCCTGGAATGTTCAACTTTACTTGGAAACTATTGGCAAAGAACTGACAGAAGCCAGTATCATCTTGTCTTGCAATTGGGAACTATATGTAAAGTGCAGAAACTTAAGAACAACATTAGAAGCCAAGATCAACAATACTTGGAACTACATGTATAATCAAAGTACTGTCAGAATCCATATGAGAGAACCCAAGATCATCTACACTTGGTGTCTATATGCAAAGTGTTGTCAGAATCCACTTAAGAAGCCAAGATCAACTATAATTTGGAACTAT